AGATTTAGGGTGTATTTTCGTATGCCCATGGTGTTAGTAAATAATTTTAATGAGTTTTTGCCCCAGGTATCACTGAAAAACAATAATTCCTGCAGTGTAAATTACATGCACCCCTCCCTTTTATTGTCTCCTGTTAAATGAATGAAACAATAATTTCGAAACCAGTTTCTCAAGATATTCAGGGAGAGATTGTTAAATCCCCCACGCACCAACTGAATAGGTAATAGTATCGGTTATTTCATGAAAATCTTGGAAATTATTTCCTTAGAGTTAACTCAACCCCGAACTCTCTCCAGAGGTTTGAGTAAAACATACATTTGGGGCGAAACATGAGCGAGGAACTTGCTCGGATGGATTTTTCATCTAAAATCAAAATATTTATGAAATGTAATGGAATTTATTTCTGCAGGAATTCAAACAAGAAAAAACATGAAGATCCTGGACTACCCCCAGTCCTACCTGCTTCTTGGCTTAGTTGGCTAAGAATTGTTTCTCTATATATTAAATGATTCCTATATTTTCAAATTCACTAAGCTTATAGAATGATATCAAAACTCGCTCCCTGAATTTTTCATCAATAAATATGAAAATATCTTAGAATTATGACAAAATATCATCAAAGTTCATGTTATCAACAAGAATCACTGGACATTAAGTGATCAAAGTATAGATTTTGCAAGGTAATGTAAATTATAAAATACTGAAAACAAATTTTCGTTATATCTTCTAATTGAATGTTAACATACTTCACGGTGGTATTATGAAAAACTGTTCCCAAAATATATATTTTTGCTTTGCCCCCCCCCCCCTGCTACCCCTTTGGTGTAGGGGTAAAACATAATTTTATGGGACAAAAAGTGACCCATGAATTTGCTCGGGCAGATTTTTTCATTTGAAAGAACCAATATATTCATAAAATTAGGAGATTCGAACAAAAACAAGAAAGTGCTAGTCACTAAGACTATTTGGCATGGACAATAACTTAACCCCGCTCTAGTTTTTTAGCTTACCGGTAAATTTTTTTTGCATTATTAATGATTCTTACAATTTGAAAGTATGACTTGTGAAGGCATAGTAGAGCTCTTGGAGATTTTTTCCATCAATAAATATTGAAAGATCTTATAATTATGACAAAATATTTTCAAAATCCATGTTACCAACCTTGTTAATGACTGAACATTAAATAAGTAAATTATTGATTTTACGAAGTAATATGAACAAAAAATCACCTGAAACTGTTTTCTAATATATTCACTTCTTGAATCAACTTATTTTATGTTGTTATATGAAAAGCTTTTCTTGAAATATTTGTTTTCGTTTTGACCCCCTGCTACCCACTGAGGGTGGGGGCAAAACATAATTTTCAGGGATTTAAAGTGACTGACAAACTTGCTCTGGCAGATTTTTTCTATTCCAAACAATCAATATGTTCACGAAATCATAATGGCTTAATTTCGTCATCGTTTCGAACAAAAAAAACGAAGAGCCAAGGCTAAAAATAATATCCCTTGATAAAAGAATAAGTTGATATTTAATTTGATTTGATCAAATTTTACCCCTGTTGAAATCTCCAATATTTAAGAATCTGTAATATTGTATGATTCCTATTATATTTTACATAATTTTAAGAAAATATTCAATTTTTTCGTAAATTATCCCGAGTTTTTTTCATAAATTATCCCGATTTTGTGTTCAAGACTCCTGATTTGTCAAAGAGACACCCTAATGGGCTTATCCGTGAGATTTGTGACAGTGGCCTAGGATGCTCAATTGGTGGAATCCAAACCACAATTCCAACTTATGCGGATGACACTATACTCATTACATACCACATGCCTGTCATGCAGAAGCTTCTAAGCATTATTTACCAGTACAGCCTGAGATGGAGATTCAGATTCTACCCAAATAAGTGCAAGGCTGTATACTTCAGTAGAGGAAGGTCCACTGGGCTAGAAGGAACGTTGTCGATAGGTGGAGCGCAGATACCGATAGTGACCCAAATGGAACATCTAGGACTTCCACTTTGTTCATCAGGTACATATGGACAGTTCATAGCCAAAATAGCCAAAGGACGGAGAACGGTTATTGCCTATGTTGGAGTGACATCGAGTACTATGAATCCGGCAAACCCCCTCACTACTTCGAAAATATACTGGTCAATAGCTATTCCATCAATGCTATATGGTTTAGAAATCGTCCCTCTGTCTGATAGTGACTATAACAAACTAGAGGCTAGTCATAAAACGATTGCCAAAAAATCTCAAGGACTACCAATCAATACAAGTGACTCAGCAGTTCTTGCTCAGCTAGGCTGGAACAACATTAGGTACAGGGTGAGCTTCATGAAATTAATGTTCATATGGAATCTTCTGGCACTTCCCATGTTGAGCGTATACCGACGCATAACCATTATGCGCATCGTTCAAATATGTGACAATAATACAAATGTGCGATCACCGTTACGTGACATAATGAAAACATGCATTAAATAATAATCTATATACAAATGTAGTGCAAATGATTAAAACTGCAAGAATACCAAGTAAAATGCTTCAGAAAAGAACTGTAACGCAAACACTCAAAGAGTTCCATCTGAACGAATGGCACATTAAACTATAGGGTGACAAAAAAAAACTGGAACCCACTTAAGTCTTAATAACTTCGTCAATTATAAATATTGAGCTTAGTTATTTAGTACATGTATAGTCAACTGAATGTATGACAAGATGTCAAAGGTTGAGCATTCTAGCTCAATTAGTCTCCAAATGAGGCACGTTTAGATAATGTGCTCCAAATGTGCACCACGATGTTGGATGCCGAGCTGGATTCTTCTTGCAAAATTGTCAATGACCCGACTGCATTCATCTCTATCTATCTCTCTAATTAGTCTACCAATGTCAAGTTTGAGGTCATAAATTGTCAGTGGACTATCTGTATACACATTATCCTTGAGATACCCCCACAGATAAAAATCTGGGGGGGGGGGGTTCAAATCAGGGGAGTGGGGGCCCCAGATGTGGCGGGTATGGTGACTGATTAATCGATCACCAAAGTGAGCCTGAAGCCATCGAATGGACTAATTTGAGGTGTGGGGTGTGGCACCATCTTGTTGGAACCATTGCTGGTCCCTTCTCAAGTCACGTCATCTACCGAGCGCTCTCTAAAACGTCCGAACGTTAGGGATGTAACGTTCTGTGGTGACTGTTGAGTTGTCTTGAGTTCTGACAGACCTCTTTCTCCCCCGAATAGGTTGGTTTACCATCACTTTTCTTCTTTGTTGGTTTTACAGTTCCTTCTGAATCAAACTTCTGTACAAGCCTAAAGATCTGTGACTTGCAAGTGGCTCTTCTTGCCCTTTGATCTCTCCTATAGGCAGTTTGTGTCTCTTTATAGGATTTTGTCTCGATATACTTTCTCACAATATAAGTCTTTTCTTCTGTCGTCCATGGCATTATTAATATTTAAGCTACAGTACTCATTATGGTGTCATTTGGTCATGCATTCAGTCTAGTTTCTACCCTGAAGAAATGAAGAATGTAGGTATAATACTTTCCGAGAAAGGACGATTCTCGGTTTGGAGAACAGTCCCCTGGGCTAATAATTTTTTTCATGAAAAATATAGAAATATTACCCAAATTAAACTTTGAATATTCAAAAGAGAACATTTAAATCTACAAGATGTAAAAATAACAAATTGGTCTGAAGCAGGGATAATGCTCAATTAGACAGAATCAATAAAATACAAGTCTCGATTTGGGGAAAGAAGTTCAATAGTGTACTGCGCTAATATTTTTTTGCGAAAAATCTAGAAATATTACCCAAATTGAATTATGACTATTCAAAAGAAGACATTCAAATCTATATTATGTAAAAAAATCAAATTTGTCCGAAGCAGGGATAATGCTCATTTAGATTGATAAACTTCGTTCTCCAAACCGAGAATCGTCCTTTGATGATTTATGGGTTCCAGTTTTTTTTAGTGATCGAGGTGAAACCAATATCATGGTGGATCATGGCCCGAAAATATCTCAGACTAGTCAAATACTCTCGGCTGATGGTTATGTTAATGACAGGTGAAGGAAATCTTCAAGTGAATATAGGTCGCTGGAAAAATACCCCAACCAATGGACGACTATGCAAAATGTGCAAATGTGAAATTGAAACGTTATCTCACATGCTGCTTGAATGTGAGCCTTTAAATGTGGAACGAACCCCCCTTCTGGATATAATGAGAGAATATGGTCTGACTGACACTACATGTACAAATCAGCAGAAGTCGAACTTTATTTTTGACGAGGGACAGATTTTAGACTGCGAGGGTCTTATAAGGATAGCACAAAGTGTTTATAAAATGTATAATATGCGACCGAAAGAGGATATACGTTGATGTAACAAAAAATGTATGATCTTAACCCAATGCGGTGAATACTTAGCATGTTATTGTTACTTACACTGTATATTAGAATGCAACTTTCTGACATCTTATAACTGTATATAGATAAAAATTGTAAATAACAAAACTACATAAAATATTGTATAAATGTTGTCGTACTAAATTATACTCTCATACAATGTACTCATCAAAACTGATGGATAAAATAAACATAATAATAATAATAATCCTAATTTTTCAGTAAAAATTCCTGATTTTGAAATGGAACTCTCCCGATTTTCGTTCAAAATTCACGATTTGTTAATGAGATGCCCTCGGAAAAATGAAAGTATACGACAGGTTTTGTGATAAAACAAAATACAGTAGCTAGCTACACATACAAAATACACTTGTAAAGCTCTCATCTTCTTTTGACTGCAGTATTTTAGACCAGAAATAAATAGAACGTTCTGGGACTGAAAAATTCAGACCAATTGAAACGAATATAGGATATGTATGGTCATAGAAAACATTATTTTCGCAGACTATCCCTGCTTAATCAAGAGGTTTGGTTTGTTTTGCAAACTGTCCTGAGAAGTTCCCTATTGGGATATACTAGCAGACAATCAATGTATTAATAAATCCTCTTGTGTCTGTGTACGTGAATTGCCACATCCAACCTCTACAGACGCCGCCCATATTACCTATAATCGGCATTTGTCAAACAATCAGAACTTTATATTTCACGTATAGTTTCCCTTAAGAGCATTTATTCATCATTGAAATATGAATGGTGGGAAGCAATAATCGATACATGTGACATGAATGATAACAACTTAGATGCCTTCAAAGCAAAACCGATTGTTACTTTTCTGCAGAATCTGGGCACAATCAAAATTAGTAAGATGTATACACGCTTTAAAAGGCTATGAAGAATATTCATAATGTTGCTAAATCGGAGGTGGACCTTGTGTTGTTGGAATTGTTAGTGTAGATGTTGTGGGTTCCAAAGTAGTAGGTGAACTTGTTTCTCCAGCAATAATAGGTTTGACTTGTACTGCAAACTGTCCTGCAAAGTTCCCTGCTGGGACGTACTGGCAGACAATCAATGTATTAATAAATCCACTGTTGTCTGTGTATCGTGAACTACCACATCCAACCTCTATAGAGGCCGCCCACACAACCTGCAGTGGAAAGTCAATCAAATTAGATTATTATATATTATGTCCCGCGTCTTCCCTTAGAAGCATTAGTTTATCATTCCATCTGAAAGGAGAGAATATAATAGCTGATGCATGTTATGAATGATAAGCTAAACCGATTATCAAATATGTGTGCAGACTATTAGTTTCAATCAAGTTTGATTTGCTGTCTATAAGCTTTAAGGAGCATCTCCATTGTTGCTAGCCTATGTAAAATGACCAGATCCTAGACCATCATAATTTAATTAAAAATCTCTATTATCAACCTTAGTAAATACGCCTTGAAGAATAATTACTAGAAATGTAAACCTAAGTAAAATGACCAGTTTTACTGCTGAATCCCAGACGACCATAATTTTAGTTCTCAATAACTAACCCGAGTAAAATGTCTACAAGCCTTAAAGAAAAAAGTACAAGTGATGTTTCTAACCTGAGTAAAATGACCTGTTGAACTGCTGTATCCCGGACTACCATAATTATAATCAGAAATCTCCTCATACCTGAAGCATATAATAAATGCATATTTCTTAAAGGTGCAATAGCCGTAAACCGGGAATAATTCCTTAGAAAAACTCAAAAAATCGTTGGTGCCTCAAACCTGCCCCGAAGAATGGCTACAACCTAAACTTACTTTTGTCAAAATACCGGGGCCTGAAAAATCACTCACCTAGATATCGACGAAATAACTTTCAGTTTCGTTCGACTGCAAGAGCAAAATTGAAGCTGAGCTAAATGGTTTTCGTTTGTCGTAAAATTTACCTCATTTAACTACGACATCTTGCGAATGAATCATTGTTTTCGTGTCATATGATTCGTTGATTTATGGCACGTGACATACATTTAGACCTTTTGCCACCTATCGTAAGTTAATTGAATTCAAATGACATTTTTCAATCCAAGAAGAAAATTTGCACAAAAATTATACTCCGCTTGACATAATCTTTGTCACTCTATCGTCTTCTTCATGAGACACATCGGAACTTGGGATTAATGGCCATTCAACCAAGCCACAAAAAGTATGTATATTAGTTGTTCAACATTTCCAATTGTGTTAATATTTCCGGGCACTCAACCTTTAAGTTAATTTTATTATTCCATTAATATAATACTACAGAAGATGTTTACTATGTGACGCAAAGCGTAAGTAGATCAAAGGTCAACAGTAGATATTTGCGAAAACAATTTATTCAGTTGATTGTAGGAACACAGAAGAGAATGAGTTGGAGTCTGTTAGAGTTACGTTTAATCTAATTAATGAGATGACAAAATATGATGTTTAAGGGCTGCAATTTTATTTGAGAAATTCGAAAGGACTCAGCATAATGAATTGAAGTAACCATGCACTTGAATCAGTCTAGAGCAATTCTTTAACTTATTTGACGAAACCTTCACATACCACGCTTGGATTCCATTTGCACACAAATCAGGGAAATCTGCAGGAGTACCAGTCGTGCCATTCAAATACAAATTCTCCCCACCTGTTCTAAAAGTTTGGTTTGCTGAATCACTATGTTCAAATGCTTGTCTAGATGCAAGATCATCCGCCCAGGCTTGGGATGTTGAAGCAGCTAACGTGCTGTAGGTCATTGCTGGTGTGTCAATATGTAGAGCCCTCACTTGATTGTGCTTTGCCAGACAGGCGCTTGCAAATTGAGCTAGATGTATAGAAATATTCATGGTCATATTTTTGTAATTACTCAAGATTGAAAATCGAAAATCGTCTTTTATCAGTATTCTTCATTATTTGACACCAGATAAATATCTGAAATCGGACACATCGTGTCTAGCTTTGTGTGAATAAGTTAGCCATCTTTTTAAGTTAGGGCTTTTCATCAAATTATCAAGCAATGTGAACATCATTCATTTTAAATGGCTTCATCAATTTTAATTCTGTAATTAATATAATTATGTAGTGCACATGTTTATCAAGGTTAGCAGCCATATTGAAACTTAAACAAGTGGCTCAAAATTTAATATTAATATTTAATTCGATATATTTTAAATGTTCAAAAAAATCTTTAAAAAACATCAAACAATAAAAAGGCATTGATTAAAATGGTATGAGCAAACATAAAAACATTGTCAAAAATCATTTAAAAACTTTGAATAAGAAAACAAAATATATCAAATAACCTCACATGTCTAGCCTAATGTTCCATAGTTCAAACTAATAATTACACCAACTAACTTCATGTTTTGAACTCCTGTACATTTCGTGTTTGAAGTTATCATTTTCATGTTTCTACTTTAAAATTATTCTGCAGTTTGAACCTGTAAACATTTTTCACATTCGATCTTTCATTTTTCCATTCGAACTTTTTTGGTATTCTGCAGTAGAATCTTTCTTCTGCGCATGCGCTTTAGTTTAAGGGTATATTCCGGAGACACACAACCTATTGATCCTTCCGCCGAGTGGGAAGACGGATAGATGGCATTGCAAAAACAAAAATATTGTCCAATTATTGTAATTACTTGTACATTAGCATCGCCAGTGGTTGAATTTTGGTAAGTACATGAATGAAAAAGTGTATGTATGGACCAACTCTAAGACATGATTTGATGTGATTAAGGTGCATTTTATTTTAAAAATTTGACCTTTTGGACCTGCCTCCATCTGTCAAAATGAGAATGACATTTTTTAATATTTTCTATAGATGGCGTCTTCAACAGGTGAGATCTTTTGATTTTCGTGGGGAGTTTTGGTTCTAACTTTTTTGACTGACAGAGGACATACTGGGGTATGATGGAATGATAGCAAAACATGTCCACAAATCTTAGTTTTCTCTGGAAGACAGATCGTTTGTATGGGAATACGCATGTTATAACAATTGGTTGGGTTAACCCTTCGAGGTTTCGATTATTTTAATTCGCGCATGCGCACAACAACACTTCTGAGCGGGAAATGGCTTTCAAATTTTTCTTTATTTACGTAAATGTAATCATCTTTGTAGTTATCATCATCATCATCATCTGATGAGTTTGCATTTACACTCAACAGATATATATAAACATAATACAGAAATGGTAAACGACGCCATTTGTAATCCGGAAGTCAGAGAGGATCCGCATGCGCCTATAACAATACAAAACCACTGCGCATGTGCAACTGCCACTTAACCAATATAATTTTTATTCTCAAGTGGAATTTCCTTGGTTCGAACGTGGACTATTTTGGTTTGAACTTTTTGTACCATTTTGGTTTAATATATTTTTTATATTTTGGTTCGAACATTTACATTTTTGTTTACAAATTGAATAAATAGCTTCAATCTTCTTCGAATGATAAAATATAAACACTGAAGCTACATTGTCTGCCAATTCAAAAAAAAATCAGTTTGAT